TTATCCATCTACAAATACCTCAGAGTGATTTGCGGTGGCATAGCTGAAAATGAGAGACATTCCTAGGAGTTGGGCACAAATAAAACTGATTATAATTACTTCACCACCAGTTGGGAACCATGAGGTGGTGTGACTGACCCATCTCGGTTTGCCTAGGACTGTCCCGTTTTTCAACAGAAAGTCCAGTGTCCCACAACTCCCTTAGTCTGAAGCACAGGAGTTAGCTGGTCACCCCAAAGATTGGAAAATGTAGGTTCTTTTTTGCAGTGAGTGAAAACATTCTCAATTATTAATGTCAAGACACAAAACACGTACATGGTAAAGTAAGGAAATCTACATGACTAAAACTGGACAAGCCTACACTGTCACTGCTTTCCCTTAATAAATGTAAACAGCAGCAGCATTTGTTCCTAAATCCGCAACCCTCATCCCAGATCAACATTCAGGAGGGGTGGGAGGTGGGGATGCTGTGCCCAGGGCTATTATTAGAGACCCTGGCCAGGCTCACAGCCCAAAGCACAGGCTGCTTCCTCGGCCTGGCCTGGCAAACTCTGAGGAGCTCTCCTTCCATCTGGTTCTTTGGGTAGTCCTGCTTTAAGCTCACTTTTAATGCTGGGTTAAATGCAGAGTAGCAAATAACAGGGAGGTGTAGATAAGAGGAAACTGAATACTATATGTCAAAACAATGATAGGTGAATCAAGTTATCTGTCTGAGGAATGCTCTTTTTTTTTTAATCCTCACCCAAGAACATTTCTGCATTTTTATCTTCAGATAGAGGGGGAAGGAGAGCAAGAGGAAGAGAGAGAAACATCCATGTGAGAGACACATCGCGTGGTTGCCACCCACATGACCCCAACCAGGGCCGGGGACAAACTGCAACTGCGGTACGTGCCCTTAGCGGAAACTGAACCCAGGACTCTCTGGTCCGCAGGCTGATGCTCTCCAGAGGTTCTCAACCTGTGGGTCGTGACCCCTTTGGGGGTCCAATGACCCTTTCACAGGGGTCACCTAAGACCATTGGAAAACACATATTTCCGATGGTCTTAGGAACCGAGACACTGCTCCTTTATCTGTCTCCAGGCGGGTCCGCCCACAGGCAGAAACGCCCACATACAACATGAGGAGCTGTATTAAAGGGTCACGGCATTCGGAAGGTTGAGAACTGCTGAGCCAAACCAGCCAGGGCGAAATGCTCATTTTTAATGACCCATAACTTTTCCTTGCAATATTAGTTTGAATGGCTTTCATGGAATGGAAGAGTAGGAGAGATTAAGACATTTTTACAGATGCTCCCTTTTCTTCTATAACTAGACTTCTCTTGGCTTATTTTTAAATGTCCCAAATGTAGAATTTTGGTGGTAACATGTTCCCAGATCACATTTACTTGGGTGTGTGTGTGCACAAGGTGCGGGTGCACATCCAGTCACATTTGTTGGCATTTCAAACTTTTCTATAAACTAACTTCTCAATATTTAAAATCAGAACTTTAGAAAAATGTATTTGGTTAATAATTCAAATATTTCATTTTGCTTTTAAGATCACACAAAACTGGACAAGGACCAAAACAGTAAATCAGTACTTTTGCCAAAAATTCCCTTATTTCTCATCAATACATATACTATTTGAGTCCTAACAAAAATTTAGACCCTAAAGAGAACTCAGAGAGAAACAAACTCTAATTTGAGCACAAATACATAGCTTACAGCAGTTCCTAGCTTACCCATACTTTGTCTTCTAAATTTGCTGAAATAAAAAAATTATGAGAACTTTTTTAAAGCTTTAAAGTAATAAGATATTAGAAGAATGTTTTGAGAACAATTCCACCATCCTCTTAATACCAAAGAACAGATAGTTTAATAAAGTTAATAAAATCAGATGCTAAAGGCAAGAATTCTGCTCAATATTTTGAAACTTAATTTCAAGATGCTCAATACAATTGGATAATGTGAAGGTATTTAAATACATTTGAGGCTCTGGCTAGTTTGGCTCAGCAGTTAGAGCATTAGCCTGCGGACTAAAGAACCAAAGAGTCGCGAGTCGTGGGTTCGATTCCGGTCAAGGGCGTGAGCCTCAGTTGCCATTTGTCCCCATCCCTGGTTGGGGTCATGCGGGAGGCAACCAGTCAATGTGTCCCTCTCACATCGATGTCTCTGTCTCTCTGTCTCTCTGTCTCTGTCTCTCTCTCCTCTCTCTCTCTCCCCCCCCCCCCTTCCTCCTGCCCTATCTGAAGATTTAAAAAATGGAAAAATATCCTCGGGTGAGACCTTAAAAAAATAAACATAAATACATATGAATCATCAAACAACAAGTGTTGGCGAAGGTGTGGAGAAAAGGGGACTCTAGTACACTGCTGGTGGGAATGCAGACTGGTGCAACCACTGTGGAAAACACTACAGTGTTACCTCACTGTAACACTGTTAAAAATTGAACTGCCATTTGACCCAGTGATCTCACTTCCAGGAATATATCCTAAGAAGCCTGAAACACCAATCAGAAAGAATATATGTACCCCTATGTTCATAGCAGCACTATTTACAATAGCTAAGATCTGGAAACAACCCAAGAGTCCATCAATAGACGAGTAGATAAAAAAGCTGTTGTACATATACACAATGGAATACTATGCAGCTGTAAGAAAGAAAGATCTCTTATCCTTTGAGATGACATGGAGGGAACTGGAGAGTATTATGCTAAGAGAAAAAAGCCAAACAGAGAAAGACAAATATCACATGATCTCACTTATTTGTGGAATACAATGAACTAAACAAACTGATGAAGAAAACTGACCCAGAGACATAGAGGTAGGGTACAGACTGACAAACCTCAGAAGAGGGGTTGTTGGGGGGGGGGGGGAGATAAACCACAGAACTTATATGCATGTATGCATAACCAGTGGACATGACAACAAAGCTGGGGATGGGGCAGGGGGATGAGGAGGAGGGTGTCAATGGGGGATAAAGGAAAAGCATCTGTAACAAAAACAAATTAATAAAAATAATTAAAAAATAAATAAATACATACGAGATGCAGAAATCGACGGTGGAGAAGTAGTAAAATACATGTAATATTTTATACTAGATATTTCATGCTCACAGAATGAATGAATAAATCAAATATTTTTCCTCAGCAAACAAGGTGATTTACATTTCAAAGGGTCCCCATGGAGGTGGGGGTGTCACGGATCCGGAAAACCCCACACAGTTTGTACGAAACATTTTCAGCAGCAGCTCAGTGGAATAAAGGCGTGGCCCACAGAAGGCAGGGTAGGCCCGCCAGGAGCTGCCAAACCACTGGGCCAAGTCTGTCAAGGGGAGGAGAATAATGCAGGGAGCGAAGACCAGGAGGAGCAGGAAGGTGGGGAGAATTCATGAGTAATTCCACAGCAGGACTTGGGGACCCACTTTCCCGTTCAATGCAGAGTGTGCTGACCACCAGATTCTAAGTTCTATTCATGCACCCATGACGAACATGGGGTGAGTCCGTTCCTTGTTCTCCCAGGCTGCTTCCTCTTCTGTGAAGTGAAATTGTTATACTGCCCCACTGGATCCCACAGAGTTTTGTGACAATCACAATAGCATGAGCAAGTACTCTGCAAATTATAAATCTCTCAGCTAACATAGGAAAATGGAGCATCAGACCCTTCGCTAAAGAAAGGCAATCAGCCTCTGGCTCGTAGACCCCAAGGCCAGGCAACACTCAACCTTCATACATTTACGGTGTATCATATAAGCCACCAGAGATCATATCATGTGGCCACTACAAAGTCTCTGTCCACATGGCACTCTGCATTGTTCCATGAGAGACCCGTTGGACCTGCATACAGCTGCTTCAAACGTCTGGCAGGGCACAGCCATGTATACTTTCCTCAGCTCTGTGAGTATTTAAAGGAAGTCTGATTTAGGAAACAAACCGACCTATGGTCGGCCTCCCGACCTTACACAGTGCAGACGCCGTGGGCAGACGATACTCACACACTCCGTGTGCACCGGATGCACAGCAAACAGCAGCGCGGCCAGCAGGGACGACCGGGGGGCCAGGTCTAACCTCCGGCCTTTGCTGCTGTACTGCAGGCCACCAAACAGCACCGAGAAGACATCCACCATGAGGACAGAGATGCCACCATGCAGGAGGATGTTGACCACGTGGAAACTCATGGGGTGGAAGCCTCCAGACAAATAGTAGTTAATCCTGTGGCAGAGGAAGAGTGCTCACACAGGGGTGCAGAAGCATGTGAAATAAAATGCAAACCATCTAAAGGAAAAGGACGGTGAGTACAAATCTTCAGGGGAGAAAAGAAAGCCTTTGTGTAACTTTGGTAAAATAACATCAAGATAAATAATGCTGTCAAGCTAGTAAGATTGAAGAGACGGTAAGAACATAATTAACTGCAGAGGGAGAAGTGGATGACAAGGGCAGCATCTCAGAAGAGAGGGACAGAAAATACTTGGAGAGGGAAAGCAAAAGGAAAGCCAGACCGATTTTGAAGTGCAAACGAGGCAAGACTGCGTTCCAAAAAAATACATCACACATTACTCATGGCTATCCCATAGGAACCTGGGTATAAGATAGTCACGTAACTTGCTTATCAAAAATTTTTTTTAAAAAGTACTTTACAGTTTGTCTACCAGCCTTCTGAACAATGAACCACTTTTTCATTGTCAGGGATTCTTATTTCTGACTGCTTTTCAATTACCAGTGGTTCCAATTTATCACTTCCATGCTTCTTTGAGAGATCTATACACAAATATTTAATGCATCAAAGAAACAGCTTTGAATGGAAACTTTGTGTCGTAAATAAATCTATTTAACACAAACAGTTTCCTGATTAATGGGGAGAGTTAGATTGTTTTTAACTTCATTTTGTTTTTGCCTATTGACTTGGTAACAGCAGGAAGATTTATACCTTTTATTTGTGGTGAAAAAAAAGTGCCAATTTAATTTGATGTCACATATTGTTTCCTGGGTATTAACCAGCAAAGGGTCCAACCTCCAAGAACTGTGCAAAATGGAACACTTCACCAATTTGCATGTTATCCTTGAACAGGGGCCATGCTAATCTTCTCTGTATTGTTCCACTTTTAGCATCTTTCCTGACAAAGCAAGCCTTGCAATAAAGTTTCCTCACACATGTACTCTCCGCCTTCCTGTGACCTAACTCCTAATAGTCAGAATTATCATGTACTTCTTAGAGACCCCTATAGTTGAGTGGTGTATGTCTCCCTAGGAACCACTGATTCGACTCACAGACCCTGAGAACATTGTCACATACAACCTGCTACATTATAATGCATAAGCTTTGGGTGACCCTCCCGTACAGCCCACACTGTCATACCTCACCTGAAAGTCAGGACAGTGAGAGGTCGGTAGGACTTGTGGCTGGTGTTGCTGCTCAACCTACTGCCCCAGAAGTCATGATGCCACAGGTCCCCAAGGGGCGTTTCTGCTCGTAGGTCCTGCAGGAACACAACCAGAGGAGATTCAGGACCAAGGAGTCATGACTCCTCACCCCATAGCTAAGCCCTCACCAATTCTCTTCTTTAAAGTTCCTCATACTTCTATTCATCTCTCCCACCACCCTGAGCCAAGCCACCATCATCACTCACCTAGGACACAGGCAGGCCTCCTGGTGGGTCTACCACACCCTCTGACATGTTCTCCAAATTCATCTCTCCAAAATGCAATTCAAGTCACTCCACCCACTCCTGCTTAAAACAATGCAACACCCCCCTCCCCACCCCCTCCAGGACAAAGCCCGCGTCTTGACACAGACACCACAGTCCAGGGTGCTCTGGCACACCAAACTTTGCAGGCTCATCTCTCAGACTCGGTGAATCTACTAATGGCCTTCATCCAGTCCCCATACATCTCCTGCTACCATTCATCCTAAAGGCTTTGCATGTTCAGGTTTCCACCCAGTCACCCCTCAACTCTTCACAACTCAGTTCCTCCCACCATTCATATCTCAGCCATTGAGCTATGACCTTCCTGGGCTGATGCAATTTCCCTTCCATGGGTCTTGGGCATCTTGCACCTATCCTCACAGTGCCTGGCACACTAGCAAGACAGTCATGTAACTATTATCTGTCTGCCCCACTGGCCTGGGCTCCACAAGGCTTGGGACACATCTGTGTTTGCTGGGAGTACGTGGAAGGTGCTTAATCTATGCTGAATGAATGAATGGACCATATAGCTAAATGAGATCCCTATTACCCTCTTTCATAAGTGGATAAATGTGTATTTTTTAAGTTTAACATTTCTGATCATGATCTAAGCAGATAGTAATATTAAAGAAAAAACAACTTCCACATAACTTTTAAAGATCACTAAGCATTTTTTAAAAACTATACCCATCTTACTACTAAGGTAATTTAATTTAGAACTGTACCACAGATGCTTAAAAATGCATCTATTTTTACATTTAAATATGAAACTAGATGATTTAAGCTGTGTCTAACAAGAAGAAAGGCAGGTTACTGTGGAGTAACAAAACGAAATATCAATTTTCTCTTTAAAGCATAATTAAACAGGGCTATTTTAGGGATAGAAATTATGATGTACTGAGCACTGCATGGTGTATCAGTCAGGATTCCTCATTGCAGTAACCAAAATCAGCTCTGATGAACTTAAGCAAAAAGGGAATGCTCTCAAGGAGAGTGCAAGGCTCACTGACTCCCAGGTGGATTGGAAAACCAAGTTCAGGGCTGTGCAGCCGGAAGTACACCCACAAACCAACCATACCACTAGACATCCTCCAGACCCCATCTCTTTGCATGACTAGATCCTCATTCCAACAGGTGGTGCACCTGACAGGAGAGCCTATGTCTGTATCTGTATCTAAACCAGACAGACTTTGCAGCTTATGATAACCACAAGGTGGGGAATGCCCCAAACAGAGGAATTGTGTTAAATCACAGCTGGTCTCAGAGAACCGCCAGCGTCCATGACACACAGTGGAGTTCAGTGAGTCCTAGCTACTGAAGTGCTTGCTGATATAAAGGGAAGGCTTAGGAAGAGGCATGAGATACAAGGGTACATTTGAGGGTACATTTCTCTTCCATTGGGTGTCAACTTCAGAAGCCTATGAGTTGGTCAGATATTGCCTGAAGGTCCTATAATCCACCCACCAACTGGGTTCCCTCAGTTACAAAACTGGAAGTCCATCTCCTTCTGCATGGTCCCAGAAGTACCCGTTCAGCTGTAAAGGGGCAGGGCTGAGGATCTTTTCTTCCATTTGAGCACAAAACACCAATGAAGCTCTAAATATTTGATTAGGTGTAGCTTACACAGAGCAGGGTGCGTTACAGGAAGAAAGCCCAATTTTTCCTGCTAAGATTTATGGAAAAGATGTGTTATGTCTGAGATTCCTGCTACCTCCATGTCTCAAAGAAAATCATCATCTCAATGAAAGAAGGCAACTCGACACTACCAGGACGCATCTGGAAAACAGTCTTTACCACCAATAAAACCCAGTAACAGCCTGTTCCACATTACCGTGGGCACGGTGCCAATGGATGCAGGAGTGCCTTTCATTAAACGGGAAAGAAAAAATGGAGGGCTAGCAAGTAAACAAAGGGGCACAGTGTGATGCTCTAGAAAACACTGCCAAAACAATGTGCAGCACAGCCACAACATGGCTTCATCTGCCTTACTCCACACAGAAGGAAAGAGAATGACACCCACACACCAGGGTATCCCACACACAACAGAGCTCAAGCTGTCCCCTGCCTTGCGTACCGAAGTTGTTCCACATAGACTCAAATTAACACTTTACATATCTTCCGCTAAACGTGGAAGAGTCAAGAAACTCTCAATAAAATGAAGAATAAAATGTCAAAAGTAACGTCATATATATTTCTCTCTCTCTCTCTCTCCCCCCATATATATCTCCTCTAATACTTGTTAGGAAAGCAGTTCTGCAGCTATGAAGCCATGAATGGGACACAGTTGTTTAGAGCTATAAACTTCTTTTTTTTTTTTTAAGCATAGTTTTAAAAAGAACTGAAATAGAAATATCTACAGTAACTTCTGGGTGAACTTCAGGAAAATTACAAATGAAGAACTTGCATTAAAAACAAGCATCAACAATGCTGTAGTTTATGCCGTCAAAATACAGAAAATCAGTTGTAATGCATTACAAATAAAATAACTGCAAAACAGTCATTTCCCCACCCTCCCACAGAAAAAAGTGTTTATCACATAGATGATTTTTTCCAATATTTCAATGTGAAATGACTTTTCCCTCCTTTGGTAGAATCCATGACTTCAAAAATGTAAGAGCATTCAGTAACAATATTACCAAGAATTGCTACAATTGCATTTACTAGAGAGAAAAACTAGTATATTTCTTCAAACTCTCTTCACTGGTGAAGGCATACACAGAGTATCTGCTGAGTAACTAGTATGTCACAGAACTCTAACCTGTGCTATTTCCACAGTCTTTATCCTCTGGGCTTTTCCTACCTCTGACTTTCTTATTCAGATTTTTTAAGCTCGCTTAAATCTTTTTCTTCCCTTCTCACAAACTTATTTCTTCTTTCCTATCTCCAGTTAGCAAGTGAAAGAGGGTATCATTTTCCCTGAACAAATATAGCACCCACTGGTGAGCAGAAGTGGCTGGGATTTTGCAGATTCCACAAATTTGAGTCTCCGAACACAGAATGAGCAGGAACTGCATCTCTCCCCGTCCTCCAGCAGCTGTCAGCAGGCTGTCCTGATGCTATCAGTGAAGGACAAAGAAGCCAGCTCGCTGCCTGCTGCTGAGGATGTACCTTCTGGTGGATGATCAGACTTGTCCATCACTGCAGCAAAAGTATGGTTTTCTTTTTTTCTGAAACAGTTCTGACCTACAGTTTTGGAGATTTGTCACAAACCCTGAAATACTCAGTCTGCAATGCCCTGCAACCCCCTTGCTTTGATATCTTAGAATAACGGTCTCTCTGATACATGTGAGGCCTGGGGCCTCACATCACATAGGGTACACAGGGTGGATGAAGCCTGAAGTGAGGCAGGGGTTGGAGACCCTGCGGCCAACAATACAAGGGGCCCTAAATCAAGGAGACTTTCCAAGAGATGGGAAATCTAGAGCACAATTGGGGCCCAGGCTTAACCCAAGTTTAATAGGAAATAATTCAACTCAAACTTAGACTATTACTGAGATGCAGGCAAGTGGTTAACATAAGTTTATCAGAAAGGAATTAAGATACGAACCTTATTGTTAACAATAGCTTCAGAGTCATCAAAGACAAAATCGCCATCATAGCTACGTGCAAAACACACAAGGGAAACAAATCCCACTACTAACTTTGCCCAGAAAGAGGGAACAGAAGATGGGATGATGTGATCCAAATCGGCCTCCAGCTCAGCCATTTTGAAAACTGCCTGCTGTCAGCCTCTGGCTGCAGCATTATGCTGGTTAGAGATCTGCAAGAAAAACAACAGGATACAGTTATTCATCAGTGCACTGTCAGGAATGTTTCTGCAGTGGACAACTTTACCTCAAGTAAATAAGAGTTAAGACAGCCATTTATGCTGTGATTTTAGAGGATACTCTTGTTAAAAACTTTAAGTTGTGGTTTTCAAATTCTAGTGGACAGAAAAATCACCTGGGACACATACGGATTCTCCTGGGTCCAGCTGTAGCCTTCCAAGCTGGAAACCCTTGGGTTTCTGATGCTTGAGAAACACTGATTTAATGGACTCGTATATTTATCAACCCCATAATGGAAATCACGTTTTATAGTTTGGAACCAGTTTACAAAGTTAAAAAAAAAAAAAAGGTACCTTTTTATTGCACCCAGTCAAGAAAAACCAAGAAACATTCATTGTTTGGTCTTAAGACATTGTGTGTGTGTGTGTGTGGGGGGGGGGGGGGTGGAGAAGGATATGAAACCTGACTGTGATTCTGAGAACTCAAGACACTCATGCCAGTTAGATGAAAACCTGGGATTGGGGAGTTTAATAGAGATAATGAGGCAGGGCACACTGATGGCCCAGTCAGTGGTTCACACAGACGACGGACAGAGGAAGGAGAGAACGTTGTAAACTGACTGGTTTGGGATAATATCTTATTCCAGAAAGGCTGAGCTGCATTTGAAAGAGGAGA